TAGCAAATACTTAAACTAATAACAAAACATACTTACAGTCGCTGATTCAGAAGCGCCAGATTGTCATAGCAAAGTCGGAATTGACCCTTTTTTTTTTTTTTTAGAAATAGCCTTTGTGCACAGCCAGCCTTGTACTCTTCTAGGTTCAAAAAACTGTCGTCCATAAAATGCGTTGCACAAATTCGAACATCTGGGTTGTGCTGTTCCAGTGTAAATAAATCTTAACCAATGATTCCTAATTGCATCTACTTCCGGAAGGCCAAATAAAGTGCTTTTGCTTTCGCACTGAAACACAGCGTCTCCCTGACATGGCTGCATCAACACTACTGCTGTTCCTGAAACCATGCCTTCTTTCTTTGCGTGCACATTTGGGCGGCATTATGCAAATCTTCCCACATAGTGAGGTAGATATGTGGGGGCGTGTTAGAACGAGCCGTTTTAGGTAGGCGTGGTTGACTCTTAACTTTTAGAAAGAATATCTCTTTGGATTTGATACTTTAGTCTTTGCAACTTTACAGATCTTCTTTATGCACCAAGAGCTTGTAACACTCCAAAGAGAAAGTAAAAATTGAAATCACATCATATGACCCCTTTAATGCAATCTGGATGGACTAGATCTGTCATGTTATCATTGTCATGTGACTTACCAGTGCCCGTTGCATCGCTTTACAGCCATTCACAAACCCTCTCCTACAGCCTTAAAGAATAGTAAATGTGTACATCACATGAACACTTCAAAATCTTGCCGGAAGTAGTTCCCAACCACGTTCCTGGAGTTCCTCAACATTGCACTTTTTGCATGTCTCCTTTGTCTGGATGCATCCATTTCAGGTCTTAGAGTCTCTTCTAAGCTAATAAGCTGAATCAGGTGTGTTTGATTAAGGAGACATACAAAATGTGCAGTGTTGGAGGGGCAAAGTAGTTGGTAACCACTGACCCACTATTTCCAGCGAGATTCAGAAATGGCTTGCTAGAGGCTAAATGGGACTACAGAGGTTGTCGGTGACATTAAATGTCATCACACCGAACAGGTAAAGCCAACTACTTACTAGTCCACTTTTATAACCTCAGTGTGTTTATAGTTGCACTCTTAAATATTCTATATTCTTATTCTTAATCAAATTATGTTTTTAAATCAAGACTGAAAGAGTGTTGGGAAGCTTAATGGTGATGTTGAAGTCATCCGTGTGCAGTTGATCTACTTTTATGTTTTATTTTTTCTGCTGATTGTATTCAGGCTTCAAAATTCTGGCTTGGAAAGCTGATCATTGTGATGAACAAAATGTATGACTCATAAACTTTTGTTTATCATAGAGCTTATTTTCTGCAATAATCCAAAAGCCAACAGAAAAATCCTATTGAGTTTTGTAGAAGGAACCAGGGTGTTTTGGCTGGAGTCTTCATCTTACGTGAGTGGAAATCATTTTAAACTTTTTTTTTTTTAAAGTGCTATTCATTCATTTCAGAGGCAGAGTCAAAGCCTTCGAGTCCTTTGAGTCCTTCTCCCATTACTCCTCTCCTCTCTCATACTGTTTGTTCAAATGAAAGCGAAAATGGTTGTTGTTCTTAGGATTTGCATTTAGAATTGTATTGCATTGTTTGCACTTAGAATTGTCAAGTTTATTTATGTGTTTATTTCTTTCCGTCCCATAATCTATAAGTTGGAGATTGTTTGTTTTTTCCGAATGTTTTGGGGTTAGCGCTGCGCTGGTATGATTTATAGCAGCAGGATTTGGCCTTTCATGGGTGCAGTCCTTTATTCTGTCTGTCTTGCTTGGTGTGGTGCCATTGTGGTTTTTGCCTCTGGGCAGAGTGGCACCAGCTGATGGATGACTATGACAACATTTGTAGCGCAGACACCAAAAAAACAGCCACTAATCGCTCTTTGATATCTTCTAATCCTTCCTCTTCTTTTCACAAATCTGTTACAATTAAATCAAATGAATGCAGCCCAGAGTGGAGAACACAACTGGAGTCTCTCTGATGTGTATTTTATCAGTCTAAAGTCAGTTGAGTTCTCCTCATTGCCTTTACATTCCAGACATCTGTGCGCAATGACGTGTTGACATGCAAGACCAGTTTACTATGTCTTATGAACTACATATGCGCTTTTCTAAATAACTTGATTATTGTTCCAGAAATGTTAGTGTCACTGTATGCAAAACAAAACGTTGTAGCCAAGCCACAGAAAACAACTTGTCGTTCTTAGCTCATTTAGGTCTGACAAACAGGCCTCAATGGGTTTCAGCTTTGGCTAGCGCAAGCAGAACTCAGCCCTTGGAGTGAGAGAAGAAACCCAACCTCTACTTATCTCCCTGTGAACTTCTTAATGGGAGAAACCCTTAGTGGTCGCTGAAAAAAATGCTGCAAAGAGAAGGAAAATGTTCCTGCTCAGCTGACCCATTTTCTCCGGAGCTAACTAGGTTTGGAAATCTAAAATTGTACAGAACTTTAGGCACTGCTGCAAGACCTGAACAAAGATTAAAAAATAAAAAGCAGTCTGGACCCATCAATCATATACCTAAAATCCTCTTCCACTAAGAAAAAATAGGGATTATACAATAAATTGCTGAAATCACAAAGAAATATGTGTGTATGTTTTCACGGGATGAAAATCAGGCACAGAAATCAGTATGCATGGTTTCCCAGTGTTCCCGTGGAGCGAGCCAAAATATCCCTCTCTATGACCTACAATCAAAACATGTGAAGTACTACAATTTAAAATATTCTACACATCTTCTATTCAATCTCGCCCTGAAGTACAGACACAGTAATATAGAAACGGTTTTGTTTTCCCATATCTGAGAGTGCAATTTCAGCTGGGAATACTATACTACACTGAATCAGAAGCTCAGACTTTGTCTCGTAAATATGAGAAAGATGACAATTTATGCAGTCTTTCTGTAGAGTGTGTGTGTGGAAGAGAGTGCTCTGAGCTCAGGGCCGATTGTGTGTTTTTTTTTTTTTTTTTTAGGGTCCTTCCGAGGA